GCTTCTGTAACTGCTTTGTGCAAACCAGGGTCCTCATTCCAAACCCTGGGATGTAATCAATACCTTTGTGACTTTTGCCTATATAAGTCTGGTTTTTCTACCATCTTATTACTATGAGATTTGGGGAATGGCCCCTCATAGTCCCAGATTGCAATAAATGTGACTCTTTAATTCGAAAAAAAATTTTTTGAAATATGGATTTTAGGAACTTTCTGATTTTAAGATTTTTTTCCCCTCAGTTGCTAGCTGGTCACAGGCTCTTCCTTTGCCTTGTTATATAGTTGAAGGTTAGGCCTCTTTCAAAGGCAGAGTCGCCACTCATTTTCATTCCAGCAACAATAGCCTTCTCAAGAGTAGACCTCACCCTGCTCCCTACCCCATGTCTTTTCATTAAAATGACTCTGAGTCCTTGTGTGGCTTGTGTGGCTCAGTTGGTTGGGCGTTGTCCCGTGCACCGAAAGGTCGTGGGTTCAATTCCTGGTCAGGGCACACACTTGTGGTTTCGGTGATGTTTCTCTCTCTCTTCCTTCCTCTCTCTAAAAATATATACATACGAGTGGCCCGTTGCATGAAATTCATGCACATTAAAAGGGAATTAAGTAGATCCACTCCGGGCCTGCTCAAGCCGCGCCGTGGTGGCTCAGGCAGGCCCCCCTGTCTGTGTCCCCACCCAAGTCCCTGCCCCTGTTCCCGCCCACCAGCTCCTGTGCACATGCAGCCGTTGACCAGTCGTGGCTGGGACACCGTTAGGACCAATTAGCATATTACCTCTTTATATATAGATAGATTTTTTTAATGACCCCAAGAGCTGGCATTCTCCAGCTGGAGGTTGAATCAGAGAGCTTTGCCCCTAGAGGTGCTGACTCAGTGGGGCTGGGCTGAGTTCGCAGACTTTGCATCTCAGCAAGTTCCCCCTTCCAGAGCCACCTCCCCAGAGGGAGCACAGGGGCGCCAGTGGGACCGGCTGTGGGGAAGGTGGAAGTGGTGGAAGTGGATAGTTCCAGAGAGTCCAAGCTTGGGTGAGGCCACACCAGGACAAGCCAGGGCGGAGTGGGTCTGAGTGGCTCACCGCCCCAGCTCCGGCTCGTTCCCCCTCCCCCAGCAGGTTCACGGGCTGCGGCCTCAGCCAGATGCACGTGGAGCCACTGTGTGAGTTGCTGAGGAAGTGTGAGGACCTCAGTCAGCTGGAGTAAGTATGAGGAGAGGAGCAGGGAGAGCAGTCTGGGAGTGAGCACCTGGGTGGCACTGGAGGGTATGTGTGTGTGCGCGCATGTGTGCACTCAACCCCAGCCCAGGACTGTGGGTCACACCCTTAAGGTTTCTCTGTACCATGTTATCCCACCCACCCCTACTCCTGCCGTAGTGGAGCTACTTCAGAGTGTGCCCTGGATCTAAGTTGGGGAGCCCTTCATAAGGGCCACAGGAGCCCGTTGGCCTCGCGTTGATCAAGGCATCGGAGCTCTGCTGGCTGATGGGCACTAAGCGAAGGGTCCGTTGGTTTGCCTGGCAGGGGGTTAAAGGTACCACATGCCTCGGCCTGAGGGGGGTCCTGGAGTCAGCTGGGGGGGGGACTCGTGAGCTTTCGTGCTGTTGAGAAGTGGTATCCATGTGGCCTGTCTTGGATGCCCAAATAGTGCAGCCCCCACGTGGGTAGAAAAATAAAATAATAATAATAATAGCAAACACTATTGGGCCCTTCTCCACTGACCTAAGTGCCTTAGATCGTCTTTTCGTCCTTCCGACAAACCCAGGTACTATTATCCCCATTTTGCACATGGGAAAGCTGAGGCTCAGAGAGTTCAAGGACTTGCTCAAGGTCACACAGCTAATACAATGCAGAGTCTTTTCACAGCTGGCAGGGAGTCCAGCTAAGGGCCTGCAGGAGTGAAAGAGAGCTGTCCAAAAAAATTAAATTAACTTCCTGTCATGAGGTGGCCAAGAAGAGAAATGTGGCTGATGAAAATAATGTATTTTATTTTTTAAATATGTTTTCCATTGATTTTAATAATTTTTGTTGATTTTGGAGGAGAGAGAGAGAGAGAGAGAGAGAGAGAGAGAGAGAAACATCAGTGAGTGAGAGAGAGAGATATCTATCGGCTGCCTCCTACACGCCCCACACTGGTGATTGGAGCCTGAAACCCAGGCGTGTGCCCTGCTTGGGAATCAAACCTGCAACCTCTGGGTGCATGGGAAAATGCTCAACCAACTGAGCCACATGGGCCAGGGCAAAATTATGTATGTCAGCGAAAAAGGAATAAGCAATATGTCTTTTGAGTTTTTCTCTTGTTTGTTTGCTTTTTTCATTGTAGAGGGCACTTTTTCTTATTTTAAAGATGATTAAGGGGCTTTGTGAAACAAGCTAATTTTTACCGTATCTCAGGAAAAGACGAAATAGATAAGCCTCGGGAGTGTCAAAATCAGGGGCAAAATGAGGTCAAAGATGCAGGGTAAAATCAGATACCCCAGGCAGGCAGGTTATATCGTTCCTACACTGCGGCTAAAACCCCAGGCTGCTCCAGTGAAGGGAAGTAAGAAAGTACTCAAGCCCAGTTTCCGATGTTGCATTCCCAAGTTGAAAGAGGAGCTCTATTGGGTAAATACAGCCCCCAAATACCTTTTTCCTGAATTTACTCTGGTTCCAAAATGGCAGCTCCCAACTGACGCGGGCCAAGGGCATAGTCAAAGCGAATTGGGTTTTCTCGAACTCCCGCAAGCCTGCTGGAGTCCTGGGAGTGGTCAGCAGCTATTGAAGGGGAAGATGAGGGCTGGTTAACTGTGGTGCTGGTGAGGGGGATGATGACGGGGACACGGAGCTGCTGTGTGATGGTGGTGGTGGTGGTGGTGATAATTGGTGATGATCCTAGTGGAGATGATGGTGGTGGTGGTGGGCTTGGGGAATTCAAGGAGTGACGATGGGATGAAGCTGGTGGTGGTGGTGATGTTGGGATGGAGCAGCGCTGACTGGCGGGGGTGATGTGAAGGTGGTGATGAGGGTGCTGTGTGGGTGGATTGGCAGCGATGCAGCTCTGACGTCAACCGCCTCCTCTTACCTCCTACAGCCTGTCAGCCAACCAGCTGGGTGACGGCGGGCTCAGGTGCTTGCTGATGTGTCTGCCTCGGTTGCCCATCTCGGGTTCTCTTGAGTAAGTGATGAGCAGCTGCAAGGAAAGCAAAGAGGAAGCCTTCCTGGGCCCAGAGCATGGGTTTGGAGGGATCTTTTTATATATGTGTATAAATTTTTATTGATTGATTGATTGATTTCAGAGAGGAAGGGAGAGGGAGAGAGAGATAGAAACATCAATGATGAGAGAGAATCATGGATCAGCTGCCTCCTGCACGCCCCACACTGGGGATCGAGCCCGCAACCCTGGCATGTGCCCTGACAGGGAATTGAACCATGACCTCCTGGTTCATAGGTCAGTGTTCAACCCCTGAGCCACGCCGGCCAGGCGGAGGGATCTTTTGAGGGGTCCCCAGAGAACTCCAGAGGACAAGGACTTGGGGGTAAAGGGGTGGTTCTTGCCTTGACACCCCCACGTTGGGCCCTTTCCTCTTCCTCTCGTTGCCCACCCTGGGAAGAGCCTCCACCAGACAACCAGGAGCAGCTGCGACTGAAGCTTGGTGGCTCCCAATGACTGTGCGGGGAGCGGCCATGCACCCCTACGCAGCTGACGCCATGCACCCCTACGCAGCTGACGCCATGCACCCCTACGCAGCTGACGCGGGATCTCAGCTGTCCCAGCTCGTGGCCCACCCCGTCCCTGAAGCTGCTCTGACCAAATCCACAGGACACGGATTTAGAGATGTCCCCACAGCAGGGAGGGTCCCAGGAAGTCATCCACACGCTCCCCTGATCTCCCCAGGGAGCTGGGAGGCAGGCAGCCAGGGCCAGGATACAGCCCGTTGCTAGGCAACAGAGCTGGGTGCTCCGTGTGGGGCCGGAGCTGCCAGCCTGGCCTGTCCCAGACCCAAAGGCCAGCAGGCCCAGAGGGTGCAGCTCTGGAGGACGGGGGCGGGGGGGGGCCACGCTGCCCGTACGGAGATGGGGCCCCTCTGGCCTCTGCCTGGACCCCAGTGCCTCCACCTGGGGAATGGACACTTGGACATGGAGGTCTCCCCTCCCGGAAATGACAGCTGGAGGGGAGGCAGGGGGGGCTGGGAAGGGCTCATGGAGGTGCTGCCCCCACACCCCAGCCCAAACCTCGTTTCTCTTCCAGCCTGAGTGGCAACAGCATCTCTCAGGAAGGTGCCCTGTGCCTGATGGAGACCCTCCCTTCCTGCCCACGCATCCGGGAGGCCGCTGTGAAGTAAGACATTGGTGCCACTTGTGGCTGGCGGGGGAGCGAGGCCCCCACACATCGCGGCCTCTGTCTGTGTGACTGGGGCTGGGGGCCCACAGTTTCCACACTCTGAGCCCGCATGCCAGGGGGCCAGGGAGGTCACGGGGGAAGGGCAGGCGTGAGTGTGCTTGCTGGTTGGGGTGGGGTCTCCCTGGTCAGGAAGGGCCTCTCCCTCATGGCTCCCCCAGCCCCGGCCCCTGCACCCCAGCCCCTTTCTCTCCGGGGCCCCCTGGCGCCTGGGTGCCG